GTGGATATTGACTCAAGAAAATCAACCTCGAGCTATGAAGTTTATATTAAACTAAGATAGCATCAGAGGTGGATCTTGCAGACCCATTTACTAAGAGTTTTTCTGAACTTGTGTTCGAGAGGCATGTCACTTCTTTGCGTCTTAGGAGGATCCCAAACTTGCATAAGCAAGTGGGAGATATTTTGTTCATTGTACTCTTAGAGTAAGGGTGTGCATGACAACCTTCCCAGAATCAATTCTTTTTTAATTTCTGTTCCCGGGAACAAAAATAGATAGGAAACTCGTTTGGTAAAACCGGTTTATATTTTTGTTCCCGGGATGAATCAGTTTAATTTTTGTGCTGGGGAACAGAAAAAAGAATCAAAAAATTTCTGCTTTTTTGTTCCCGGACACAAAATGAGAAATAGTTATTTCTCTGAATCACTCTACCTCTACCATCATCACCACCACCACCATCATCACGAACACGACTACCGCAACCATCGTCGCCGCCACCATTGGACCACTAGTGTCGTCATCACCACCACGATGCCATCGCCACCATTACCACCACCTTCACCCATCACTACCACCATGCCACCGTCATCGTCACTGCCGCCACAACCACCACCAGTATCACCATCACCGTCATTGTCACCACCATCATCACCACTACCGCCATCAACCACCACCACCATCATCGCAACCACTGTTGTCACTGCCACCATCGCCATCACACACCACTGCCACCACCCCCATCGTCATCACTACCACCACCACGATGCCACCACTACCATCACCACCACTGTCACCGACCACCACTACCGTTTTCGCAGCCACTACCGTCACCACCACCACCACCGTCGTCGTCGTCGCCGCCGCCGCCACCAACCACCACCACCATCGCCACCATTACACCACCCCCACCATGTCATCGCCACTACTACTGTCACCATCACCTACCACCACCGCCACCGTCGCAGCCACCGCCGCCACCACCACCATGATGTCTTCACAACCACCACCACCATGCAACTGCTACAATTTTTTCCGCCACCAACCACCATACCCACCACCAATGTCCCAGCCATTATCGTCACCTCCACCACCACCACCCTCACCACTACCGCCGCCGCCGCCGCCACCACCATTACCACCGCCATCGTCGCAACCACTATCGTCACAACCACCACCAATATCTTCACCATGTGACTGCCACCACCACTACCATACCGCCGCCGCCGCCACCACCACCATAATCACACCATATGGAAAGGAAAGTGATGATCCGAAATTTTTTTATATTTAATAGGAATTATTTTTTATTATATTATTTGTTATGTTATCAAACACAATTCTCATTCTCAGAATAAAAATAGAAAATGTTATCAAGCACATTTTTTTTCTCAAAAACTATTCCAAGGCATAGAAATAGAAAAGTATTGTTTCTTTTCAGAAAAGTGCTAGAGAATAGAATGGTTGTCTTGCACACTCTAAGACAATGAAACAATGTAATCATTTTTTAAAATTTACAAATGAGATATTATTCATTATTTTGTGCACATAATTTACAAACATTAAGGTCCGGATCAATTGTGGAGTACATGATCATTGGGATACGTTCGTAGAGGACATGATCATAGGTTCTCACAATTGATGAATTGATTCATAGCTGCTAAATAAAGTTGGATGCTTTATTTAGGCTGCAATATTTTATGAAATGGTTTTATTTGAATCATTGTAAAATATTGATGTGAATTAACATTCACATTGAAGGGATCGAGCGATTTGATTAAAATTATTTTTATGTCTTAAGGTATCAATTCTCCAGTTAACTATAGTTATATGATTACTCTTAGGCCTGAGTTTATTTTAAATAGGTAATTAAATAATTTTCATTTTTTGATTTACCAACGGGTGAGGTCCGGTCTATTACGGCCAATAACTCGATATTGTTGAAGTGACATTATTTGATTATCAATATTTATGAGATAAACAACATGAAATTTGTAGAATATATCCCCTTAATATATTTTGGTACTTGTATATTGAAAACATTGGTCAGTGCATATAATCCATTAAAAAATTATCACAGTCAAGGAAATAAATAACTAACTGAGTAACAGAAAACTCATCAATCAATTACTGACATTCTATAAAGAGGCAATGCATATTCATGTTATATGTGTTACTAATGGTGGAGTTCAAGTTCGGGGTTTTAGTGGAGTAACACTGAATTAGATAATCATTCATTGATTATCAGGAGCCTTGATTAATAACAGCTGGTAGATCCCTATGCTAGCTCGAGATATGGGATAAGGCATTTTCAATTGATGACGACTAATGAACATGGTCTTGGATTTTGGGCTCAAGTTTGTACTTAAGGGCAAGTGGGAGATTATTGAGTTTTGTTCTTTCACTAAAGCTCAATTGGGCCTAGTGTGTAAGAAGAGACCAAAAAATATAGAGCCCATTCAGCTTAGGGCTAGGATTTTTTGGAATCCATATATATATATTCTAATTTTATAGTCATCAACCTCCTATGTCTTCACTTTGTGGTTGGAGAGGCTAAGGTAGGGTCATCTCATTAATAGAGTGCGCACACACTAGACCTATCCCCCTTGAGACATAGTCTGCAAGATCTACCATTAGCCAGCCTCAAGGAGATTGTTCATGCAAAGGAGAGCAGTTCGTGAAGAGAAATCAAACACGAGGAGATACTGCACAGATCTACACGACAAGAAGTAAATTGTAGCATTTAAGCATAATATGATGCATGTTAAGTTGAGAATGATGAGATAATTATGAGTATGTTTGTGAGTTGAGTTATGTTTGAGATGTATAACTGGCCAATATGTAGATGTATATATGTGGTTACTTTTCTTGGAACATGACGGGGATATCCTAGGGATTAGATATCTAAGATGCTTAAGTTCACCTCTTGAATGTAACTGTATTTATGGACTTTCCTTGGAGCGAGCCCTTGAGGAACTTCATAGGGCTAGATGCTTATGAGACTGAAGTTTGCTCAGAAAGGATCATACTATAGGGACTTCTTTTGGAGCTAGCCCGATGGGGACCTCCTTGTGGTCAGATACTCAAAGAGGCTTAATTTCATCTCTTGGAAGTTCCCTATGTGTTGAGTTGATTTAAGTTACGTTGAGTTGAGATGATGTATTTAATGTTGTGTTTATTCTGTTGAGATGCATGTGAAGTGAACTACAGGGTGGAATGATCCTCCAAGGACCCCTTGCTTTACTAAGATTTTTATCTTACCCCATGTTAAGGCTATCATTTCAGCCAGTAGTGATGGTATAGGTAGATCACGTGGCAAGAGGCCAGATACAACATAACTTCATAGCATGTAGCTTGATAATTGTTTTGTTATTGTGTAATTAGTATTGAGTAGGTGATGACATGATAATTTTGATTACACATTTTGTATAATCCTATATTACATTTGATAGATGATCATGTATAGGAATATATTTTGAGTATGTAAAAATGTGTAATGAGTTGATGAAACAAATAATGTAATTATGTATATTCATTTGAGTTATGATATATGCATGAGATGTAAATATAATGCTTGCTTGAGATGCAAGTCACATGTTGAAAATCCTATGCCAATTAGGCTAGGTTCTTTGATGAGAAGAGATGTTAATGCAAGTTGAGATATGAATGTTGAGGTTTAAATATGATGAAATGTTGAGATATATTACCACTTTCAGTGTTGGTAGTAAGAGTAATGACAATATTGAGACATAGATTGATAGTGTTCTCTTTGGCACATGAAAATGAGAATGAATTATCTATAATGTTGTACAAGGTCATAATATGCGTGAAGAGTTGATGAGATAAGAAGGTTTAAGCTTCAAGTCATGTAAAGTTTAGATGTCTTGTAGCGCAAGAAATTCATAAAAGATAGTTTGAGACACAAGCTACATGTATGTTGAGAGAATACACAATGAAATAGTGTAAATGGTTGGTATTAATGCTTATTGTATAGTAGCATATATGACTTGCTCATTAGGTACCATAAGGGGGATAGAAATCCCCAAACTAAATGCAAGACCCGAAGTGAACCATCTAAGGTTCTAGGGAGCGTGCTAAAGCGCGCTTCCATATAAGAAAAAGGATTTGGGGAGTGTGCTAAAGCACGCTAGAAGTGAATAGCAACTTGAACCTTCGGGTGTGGAGCTCTTAAGAGCACTAAAATGCCAGAAAATACTTGTTAAGGGCGCTAATGCGTGCTAGGGTGTGCTAAAGCACAAGAAGTGCTCTAGAAATTGCTATCTCTTCAGGTGCAGCGCGCTCATCGAAGAGAAAATTAAGTGAAGCAACGCTTTTTAGGTTTTAGAAAAATAAAAATATGCTATATTTGTTTATGGGAATATCATGGTGATGTATTATGAGTAATGTATGATACAATTAAGTAAAGTTTAATTCTTTCGCACAATGAATGGGTTATGATTATAGTTTTTGAATTGAATTAATTATGGAAAGGGTTTTAAACAAAGAAGTAATAATTGTAGAAAATAAAAAGTTATTCCCTATTTTAATTCAATTATTGTAATTGGACTGCGTTTAATGCCGTATGTAATAATAACAAACCGGTGTACAACGAGTTGTCACACTCTACTTAGCTTTTGAAAGTGTGTTAAAAATTTCGACCTACCATAACTTACACTGCCTAGCTGCCAACATATTTGAAAATAATTTTTTTTTTAAATTATAATCTCCATAAATATAAAAAGTATCAAATAAAAATAAAAGATGTTAAAAATATCATTATTTGATTTTAAAAAAATAAATTAAAATCAACCCACCGAATCAACTCACCCCACAATAGATTGAATCTGTTTTAACCCGTTGTTAAACGGGACGAGTTCAAACGAGTTTACGAGTTGAAAATTTCAACACAACCTAATCTCGAGCTTTGCCACCTTTAATTAATAACCTTTCACGTAACGAAAGGATACACTTCCATATTATATACACAAGGGAGTATCCGGGGGTACCTTATAACGATGGTATTCATCGATGGCTACGTCTCCGCTACTTCTGTCATCTATCTTACCTGTCATGTTTCAATCAGAATAATTATTAATATTTACTAAATAAATTAAAGTCAAAATTGTATTGATTTTCAGTACAACACTCTAACCCCCATGATATCAGCTTCTCTTCTCAAATTAATAAACTCTGAAAATTGTGTGGCATACTTTTATCTATTTTTTCTCCATTTTACACACCCTCTCCATTTTTTTATTGTATTTGTTAGATAAATATAAAAGGGAAAAGTGTGTATAATTTTAAAGGATGTAAAGTTGTGTCATTTTAAGAGAGAAAAAGAGATAGATAAAAGAGGAGAGAGAGTTGACAAAAAAAAATAAAGGTGTGGGTCCCACCTCTTTGTGAGAGTGAAAGGATGTAAGTTGTGTAATTTTAAATGATAGACATTTTTCCCAATATAAAATTATCAATGTAGTTTCACTCAATTACTTAAGTTTTTGGATTGAGATTATTTTTTACATTAATTGGTATCAAAATCGACATAACTAAATGATTATGAATTCGATTATTATCACCTTCATTCTATTAATAAAAATAATTAAATATTATAAAATTTCTTAATTCAAGTGGACTGACTTAAGTAATTTTAATGAATTCTCGTATGAAAGAGTGTATTAAAGAAATATAAAATTATTAATATATCCTCAATCAATAGTGTAAACTTTTGAGTTGAAATATTTTTTCACATTATTTTCTCTAACTTTTTCCCTTTTTCAATTTTATTTGCAGAATTTATATAATTTCATCTTTTCTGTTTCTATATGTATGTGCACATATGTTTGCGTTTCTTATTTTTTCATATAAAACAATATTGGAAGGACTGGCTAGACTTTTGCGTGACTAAAATACTCCTGCAATTGGGAATCCATCATTTTCATGTCCCCCGTTGATATATAGAACAAAAAAAAAATGTGAAATTGATTTTGATACATTTAATACTTTGAAATTAGAAAAACATTTAATACTTTCTTTGTTAAATAAGTAATTAGTGACCAAACACCATTAACACAAGTGGTAAGAAGATTGTGTCTTTTAATTAGAGGTATCAAGTTGAGTACTGATAATGAAAAAAAAATAAAATTGGGAGAGCCGCCCCCGCTTTGGGTCAGGCAATGCTCGAACCGAATTTGTCTGAAAGATTAACTGATTGAAGAGACTAAAAAAATAAATAACCAGTGAAGAGTTACAAATAGTAACATGTGCCCCTAGAGAACACATTAACAAAGCCCTTCATATTATTATATGTAAATTATTCTCATAATGATTGTGACCACATGCAACTTCCCGTGAATTAGGGGTTCAAATTCTGTAATTATTACTTTGAAGAAAGTTTTAGCTAAGTACCTACAATCCTCCCAAATTACATGGGCAATTATTTGTTACAATTATTCTTATGAGATCACATGTTTCGACCTCTCGATTCAATAAGTTGAACCTATAGTATATGCTTTACCAATTCATTGTGTAGGTTAGTTTTAAATAGACAGTATTAGCTAACCTAATTGACCTTTGAAAATATAAATTAAATCTAGGCAAAGAAACTGATCATTTTAAGCAACTTATTTTTTATTCATAAAGTTTTTTTTTTTCAAAGATCAAATTTGTCATAAATCTTAACAAGAACTTGCAATAATATATACTTATAAGTTTTTTTTTTTTTGTATAAGATATATACTTATAAGTTAACTATATAGGATCACAATAAATTTTTAGCAACTAGAATTAAATCTAAGCGCTACATTGAGTTACTTCCATCCGTACCAGTTCAATCATCCTTATTAATAAATTGGCTTCAGTTCATGTAGATGATAGAAAAGTAGCAACAGTTGAGGTGGTTATGTACTTAATTACTCTCAAATATTAAACGTATGTTTAGTCTCAAGCACCAAAAACAAAGTATGTATAGTCTCTTTTATAACGATAAATTTGTTATATGATTGTAATATATATTATACCCACTTGAATTATAATATATGGACTCAGACAGTTCTATCTATATCCATTTTCTTATATATATATATATATATATGGGGAAAGATTTGTTTACAAATTTTTTTTACAAATTTTTGAAAATTACACTATGTACTCCCGGGAGAACATAGTGTAACCAAATGTTCTCCCGGGAGTAGGGGTGAAACTGGGTCGGGCCGCCTATAGGGGCCTACGGCTCGGCCTACGTCAATCCAGACCTGGCCAGTAAATTTTGTAAAATAGGTCGAGCTTGGGCCTTGAAAAAGCTTGTTTAATAAAAAGGCCGCAGACCCACTTTCACAAGGCCTGGCCTATAAGCCTACATGCCGACCTATATTGTACTATTTATTTTAAATAAAATAAAATAATACAACAAAAATTTATCCAAACAGAATATAAAATCAACAACATTAGTAATTATATAAATATTCATAAATTCAATGTATATCCAAACAGCAAAATATAGAACAAAATCATTCAAAAAGTCTATTTAACCAATAAAATGGTGTGGAATGGATTGGGGAGAAAGAGAGAGCTATTACAAGTAGTATAAAAAAAATAATAGAATAAGTATGCCTTGAAGAAAAAATAAAAGATATAAATTTAATCAATTGCAATTATTTATAACTTAATTATATTCGATTATATTTTAATAGAAATCTGATTTTATTTCTTATGTAAGAAGAATCAACATCTCAGCATGTTAAATTGTGTATAAGAATATATTAAAACATTTTTGGGAGAGGTTATACTTATTACAAGCATCGTGATGTGTTTGTTGGATTCATGTAGTTATTTTAATTTACATAGTATGAATTTATTTGTTGGATCTGATAAAATATATGTTATTTAGTTTAAACATTTTGCTTTTGAAAGTGACTTAAATGCAGATTGTAGAAGTTTTGTTGTGATTCATGATTTTGTTTCACCGTTGAAATTATGATTTTTGGTTTAACAACAGAATTTGAGTATTTTGTAAAGTGTATTTATGGTTCTGCTTGGAAGTTAAAAATTAACATGTTAACGGGTTAGTCAGGCCATTTATTTTTTTATAAACGGGTCAAGCCAGACTAACAGTTAGACTCGTACTAGGCTTAAGCCAGGCCAAATTAAAATTTTCTGGCATAGGCTTGGGCTTTTTAGGGCAAAGCTTAACCCAACTCAGCCCACTTTCACCCCTACCCGGAAGTACATAGTGTAATTTATAAGAGTTTGTAAACAAAAAGTTTGTAAATATAACATTTTCATATATATATATATGAACAAATTCAAAAATCAAATGTTTAAACTAGAAAATTTCAACTTAATTATACAATATTGTGGACATTGACATCACTTTAGACAAAGAGAGGAGACCTGGATAATTATGAGTGAAAGTATCCCATATACTTGGTCCTCTGCCACCGTCATTTGCTGCCCCTTCATACTGAAATTTATGCATAAATATAGGTACGTACCATCACATATTTTTCATATAACGTCCAATTACATACACAATCTAAAAGAATATAGGAAATTTTGAGGTACCTGGTAAGCAGATGATGCTGTCCCAAAAATAAAACCTTCTGGGAAACTACTCCGGTTAAGGGATGAACTGTTATCGTTGCTGAACATCATTTCAGCCTCAATGATTGTTACTGAGCTAAGAATTAGTAAAATAACATGGAGAAGAAAGACATTCAATGCCATAACTACATTAATCTGCATATTTGCTTCACTTCAACGTATATTGCGTAGCTTGGGCCCTTATATAGTGGAACTTATGTGCACTATCAAATTAAACACGAGATTAACAGATGAAATCAATCATTGCAAGGCAAAGATAATGTATGTTTATATTAAATTCGACCTTATTATAAATAAAATTAATCTACTTAAGCGTAACGTGTGAAGCATGCTTTTCTTATCAGGATTAACAAAATATATGGTGACAAGGATATATCATATATCTACGACCCTAAATGATACGAGCAGTTTGATTTATAAATTAAAACGAAAAGAAAAGATGAATAATCTTCTCTCTCTGTTTTTTTTTTTGGTAGAAGAATCTTCTCTCTTTTAATTAAGCATAAAGATTTATTTATTTATTTATTTTGGATAAAAGCATAAAGATACTTCATGTTCGAGCATTGGTCTCCCCTAAAAACTTTTTTGTGTGTGTTGAAGGCATTGCTTGAAAAGGATGAATGAAATCACTAGAATTGATACAGTAACGAGGGATTTAGATAAATTACCATTTCTTTGTATTTGACTTCCCGTTAATCAATTATTCTGGCATGATTGATTATTATATTATTATATTATCACTTTCGTTGATACTTTTTAAAGTTAATTGGCAGATTGCAGAAGATCTGCGCCATAATTATTAAATTATATACATGTACCTACTTTATAAATTCTATATATGTCTCTCGCAGATCTGCGCCATAGCTTCTTTTTCCATCTTGGTTAAAACAAATGGGGTCCTTGTATGGTGGGGTCCATCCATCCTTGGATTTTTTTTAAAAATTATTTCAATTAATTCATCGTTTTCGCAATTATCACCATTTTAATAAGTGTCCTTGAATGCTGGAGTCCACATTTGGAATCTTTAACCTCCATGTAAATCTACATATAGCGTACATACTACATACACACACTCATATAGCAAATGGGGTCTCAATGTGATCGATTACTATATAATTGATTACATTGGGGTGAATGGTTAAAGTTTTTTTTTTTTTTTTAAGATTTAATCGATTACGTCGTGATATAATTGATTAAATAGTTAATAAATGGTTAAACAGAAATAAATTAGTAAAATGTTTTGGGTCAGAAATAAATTGATTATTTTTTAATTAATAAGAGACACAATAGTCAAAAAGCCAAAAAAAGAGCAAATAATTTAGGAAGTGGTCAATTTCCCTTATTTTTTACTTGATTATAAAAGTTTAGTATCATTTATTTCCAAGTAAGATTTTTGACAAATATGAGGGCCCCTGTCAGGGAGGAACCAAACAAAAATATTTAGGGAAGCAAAATATAAATTTTATAGGGAGTTGAATTATATTTTAAAAATGTAAACTAAATTATTATATGAAGGGTTTTAATTTTTTCATAGGAGAAAATTTTCTCATATCATAAACACATTTCATATGATACCCACATCTATTAAAAAAAATGCCGCACAAAAATTGAAGGATTGTTGATAGGAGAAAACAATTATCCAAAAATTCCTTATATGAATTGCTAAAAATTTTAAAAGCTTAGGGTATAATAACTTTAACTTTTACGTATGTTCGCCCATGTGGGTAAGCAAAATTATTTTCAAATAAACATGTGAATATATTACATTACCAATCATAATATACACGAGTTTATCTATTATTTAATAAATAAAAGAATAATGAATGTTTACTAAAGGGAGTGTATTGGATTGAGATTTCAAAGGATTTTAATGGATTATTTTTGGACAAAAATATCCATTAGTATTCAATTAAGATTTTAAAGGATTGAAAAAAAGTCACGTGATATATGATTCAGATTTTAAAAGATTAATTTAGAGCCCGTCCAAATCCGTTGGTATTCAATTGAAATTTTAAATAAAGAAAAAATAATCTTGTGGTATTCAAAAATCTGACAATTTTAATGGATTTGCTATTGGTGAGATTTTTTAGTGAGAAATATAAATAGGATGTCTCTCTCACAATCTCACCCTAACCCCTAAGATTTCTTGAGATTTCTCTATTACAATATCTTCTTCTTCCTTTGCGGGTTGACCTGCTCGAATTCAGGTTCCTCCTAGGAGCTTCGTCAAAGCTCAAAAACAATAAATTTTTTAGCGATTTTCATCACAAAATAATCCAGAAACAATAAACCAACAATATTATATTATAATCCATCTCAAACACCGAGATTTTTGAGAGCTTTTGGAAGTTTAAAAAATAATTTTTCAAACTATGGGTCGCGATTTTTTTTGGCACAAAATGTAAAATTCAAATAATAATAATAATAATATAAAAATGATAAAGTAATAAATAATATATATATATATAATAAAATAATAATAATAATGATAAAATAACATATATACATATATATATATATATTAATGTATAAAATAATTAAAATAATATAATAGCAATAATAAATAAAATAATAATAATAATAAAATAAATAAATAAATAAATATATATATATATATATATATATATATATATATATATTACGTAGCTGTTACTTTAACGGCTCTGCTTTACGTGTATTACGTAGCTGTTACTTTAACGGCTCTGCTTTACGTGTGTGTGTGTGTGTGTCTATAACGTAGCTGTTACTTTAACGGCTCTGTTTCATTATATATATATGGGCTTATCGTTTCTCAAGCTGCTTGAGACAATGTTACTTCGGCTACTAAATCAAAACCGTACAAAGATGGATCAATGGTGATAAAGGAAGAGAGAAAAAAGGAAATCGTAATCATTCAAAGGCGAATCAATTAATATAAAGAAATAAATAAATAAAATGACGTAGTTTTAGGGTGGCCGGAGATAAACTTAACTCAAGCAACTTGAGAAATATTTTTCCCTATATATATATATATATATATATAAGTAAAAAAAAAAAAAAAAAAAACAATGGATCATGATGAAGTATATCAAAGAGAATCTGGGACTGCCATGTGGAAGCTAGATGATAAGGATATTCAGATTTTTTTTTCTTAATGTAATGATTATATCATTACAATTTAGTTAGAAACTAATTGAGTTATTAGTTTACATTGTTAAAACCTAACTAAATGCAATAATGAAAATAGTCAAAAAGGAAGTCAATGGACTTGCCTATATATATATATATATATATATATATATATATATATATATATATATATGTGTGTGTGTGGTACACTTAATGAAGACTAAGGAAGAGAAAGAACAAAAAAACGTAAGAGAAGGAACTTAATCGGAGAAGTGAAAAGAAAGACTGAAGGATTCATACCGGAAGAGGAGAGAAGAAGTATAGGAAATAAAAGAAAGGTAATGTTGAGTGTAAGAACTCGCACCGTTAATTAAGGAATTTAATTAATAAATTATGAGAAAATAGGAAATGATTCCATAATTGACCCTAATAATTATTATGAGGCTTTAATAATTATAGTAAGTGAGTAATAATGCTGAAAGTCGCTTTTCGGAAGAAAAGTGCAGATACCGGTTCTGCTAGTCAGTATAAATGCGTACCGAAAAAGTAACCCAGAAAATTAATATAAGTGCATGATAATTACTAGAATGATATATAGGACTTGTAAAACGAGTTTCAAGTCCAAATAATGAGAACTGGTGCTAGAAACCGGTACTGGCTTGGAAAAACGCGTACCGAAAAGGTGCTCAGAAAATTATAAGAAAAATATGATAATTCTTGGAAAGTTATGTAGTTTCAGAATCCAAAGTTTGGGATTAAAATGCTAAGTGTAGCAATTAAAGTTAATACTGTGTGTTAATTGGGTAAGTGGCTATAAATACTCTAATCATTGGGCACAAAACCCTAGATCAGATTTCCTACGTGCCTCCATTTTCTGAAACACCTCCAGCCACCCTTTGCCACCTTCTCCTCCTTTGTGGTGAGCCAGGAGCTTCCTTTCTCCTTGGTTTCTTCTCCTAAACACTTGTGTTGAGTGAAAGTGGTCTTTGGGAGTGTGTTGGTGGCATTTTTCTGAGTTGAGGGTGCTGACCTTGGTGGGTGGAGCTGCTGTTTGGGGTTGTTTGGGTGGTAGGAGTCTTGTTCTTGGCTTGTGAGGCTCTAAGTGGTCATCCTTGTGAAGAAAGGAACTACCTTGTTGTGCATTTTCGTGCACTCTTCCAAGTCAGAGTTTGAGAGCTGGTTGTGAGCTCCAAGAGCAACCTTTTTCCTCTGTTTTGAGCTTTGGTGAGTTGTACCTACCTTGAGCTTGTGTTTTAATGGGTTAAAGGTGTGATCTTTGCATGTTTAATGGGTTAATCAAGTAACCAACTGAGGTGTGGACCTTAATCAGTATAAAGATGCATGCTTTAACGTAATTAAGTGTTAAAAATGGAACCTTGGAAGGATATCTTCACGAAATGCAGTTTCTGCATTCTGTCGTGAAATATCCGGATATGTGCCCGAACAATATTCGGATATGTGATATCCGGATATGGGATTCTGGATATCCGGATATTGCATATCCGGATATGTCCAGTGAGATACCAGATATGGTCCCTAGGAATATCCGGATATTCTGGGATTTCGTAGAACAGTAGATGTGTTGTGTGTACAGTAGGCTATTGGGGGTTTGTGGACCCTAGATTGATGAAGTTGAACTTCTGTAATTAATGAACTAAGTCATAATCATAGTGATTAAGGGCTTATGGCTTGGTATGGAGCCTTAAGACGTAAAACGTAAGGAAAGGCGTTGTCTTTAAGTTATATGCTTGTGTTGCATTATTATTGATATAATAGTGGTCCATAACAGATTGTGAATCTGCTGTGTTTGGACTTTGAGCTGTGGACTCTTGGCCTTGGGTGTTAGCTTGCGAGGTAAGCTTTCGTGTCCTCGGTTTAGCCATGTTATGGTTCCACCATGTCCCATGGGGGTATGGTTCTATGCATGCTGTGTTACATGCTTTGAATATTTGAAATGCTGTTGAGCTTTACGTGTAATGGCTTTTAATATGCATGTGTTGTTTCATCTTGACGGT